AATTGGGGAGTGAACCCGCGGATGGGAGGTTTCTCTCTCATCTACCCCCCCACACTCTGAACTAAAACAAGTAGATCAAAAGTAATTATTTCTAATGTTAGCAGTTTAGTTGATATAGACCTTCAACAAATGAAAACTTTCATACTTTCTTTCAGAAGTCTTCAATATCTTACATGGCGGCCAGACCTCATCCAAGTCAGATGCCTTATTCTGTCAGATTATTTAGTGCTGAGAGTAGAGGGCTATATGAAATAGAAAGAAAGGCATTTAAATTTTTTCTCTGCTATGAACTTTAAAGAACCTTTCCCTTAATGACCATAAAACCATTACATACATATTAAAACACATGAACGAGAAAACAAACCCCATTAATTCATATACTTCTCAAAATTTATGGCACCGTCCAGGGCTTAGTAAACCCCTTAATAAAAAGTGAAAATTAATAGTGTAAGTAGGATCTTGCTAGGGATTTTTAAAAACTTAAAACGAACTTTTGAAACACCCCTATTCCTTTGGGGATGTCACCTGCATACAGTTGGTTCACTAGGTAGAGAGAGATCATTAAAATACCTCCAAGAGGCCAGAATTCATTAGGCTAGACAGAATGCTTGCTTCAAAAGTAATGAAAGTCTATATCTTTAAAGGTATTACATAAGATTTTCAGTTAAATAAGGCTGACCTTTTCCCCTAATAAGGAGGCTTTATTTTATAGAGATACATATTACTAGAACATACTCAAAGTACTATCGCTGAAAAGGGCTATCAGATTCACCCTTCTGGGATTTCTGCCTTTTGTGCACTACTTCCTCACTACTTAAAAGCCAGAATTCAACACATCCAGTTGAAGTTAGCAAAGAGCCTTGAGCTCTGAGACCTGGTGGTTCTGGTGGAGCAGAGGGTAAGGGGAGTGTGTGTCTTTCACTGTGCAACTGTGAATTGGAGTGGATTTGGAACAGCCTGCAGTTTTCTCTCTCTCTGATCAGAGCCTCCTATGGTGCGTTCTGTTCTGTGGGATGTAACAGGATTTTGGCAATGCTCGGTTAAACAAAGTTAAACATGCTTTGCTGTGAGATTTCTTGTGACCTTCAATGTGGTAATGAATCCACGAGAGAGCTGCGGTACAGATCATCTCCTAAACTTCCGCGGCTCCGAAGCATTTCTGGTGAAACATCTTATGGGACCGGCTTTTTCAGAATACACTTCAGAACAGCCTATCACAATACACCTGCTGCACTGCTAAAGGGAAAAGGGTAAGCCAGCTTAAATTCTTCTCATGGCAGCCATTGTCCCGAGGATGTGTCTAAACTGCTGCATGGCCTTGAACAATCTGGCTCCTGCTGATCGCCTCGTTCCTCATGGCTCTCCCTCACACTCCCAGGCCTGGAACAGGGCCATACTGGTGGATTTCCTGATTAACCCTTCCATCTTAACCACCCCAACCCCCGAATCATGCACTCTTACCTGTCCCCATGCCCGACACACAGCAGTCCCCTCATGGCATCTCCTGCCCTGATTCTAGGTGGCTGTCACTGAGGTTGGGCCTGTATTGCACACACTGTTAGGCTGTGTACCCAGTACCTAACACAGTACCTGGCCCACAGAAGGTCGGCAATGCAATTTGTGGAATTATTGAAATGTTAGTGACTGTTGGACAGTTGAGGGCACACCTCACTGCTAGTGAGTCAGCAATGCCCAGACCCCACTCTGTAAGAATATGTACATGCGGGCAGCAGAGGGTTCCTACTCTATCTTAGCCACTTAGAAGTATCCTTTTAGGGCACAAGTAAGAAGCCAGTTGGGTTGATCCACGGTAAACAGAAATGGCACATAGACTTGAATTTTGATACAAAGATCCCTTTTGTCATGGGGACACCAGGGCCTCAGATGAACATGGGAAGATGCCACCAGGTTGGCCTAAGGGAAAGAGAATCTGGTTCAACTCCTCAGAACTGCCAACATGGGCTGAGAGCCAGAGCTGCAGGACAACCTGGTACAGGTGCTTACTCACCGAGCCCTTCTCTCCTGGGTACCCACAGAGAGATCTCCAAAGACTGAGGATGCAGCCATAGCAATTTCTTTCTCCTTTCTGGTATGGAAGCTCAGAATTTCTATTTTGCCATTCAAGGCCATTCAAGGGCAACATTGTTGATGATGTGTCCACAGCTCCCAGCCTCAACTGTTATTTTGTAGCAGGCTCACATAAAAGAAAAAGATGGCCACACTGTTGGTGCCCATTAGTGAGAAGGGATTAAAATTGCCTTCCCAGAACTTGGAGTTCTCCATGACTTGAAGGACTTGTTTAGGGTGGTGCCCTGAAGTAACCACTAAGAAGGCCTGTTTCAAGGTCATTGGAGTAGATTAGCATCTCTAATTCAGGGTGATTGGCTCAAGACACAAGTATTGTTCACTTTCCACTGCTTCCTTCTAATCACCTGATACAGTTCGGATGGGATTTCTGACCTCAAGGATGTCAGAGTAGAATCCTGCTAGGTCAGTTTTCTCAAAGACTCTTCTCCCTCTCTTCATCACACAGGCTCATGGTCCGCCTCTCCCCTCATTTCAGTCTTGAGCTGGTGGCTGCCACTCCCACTGTCTGGAAGAGATGAAAGATGACAGATACCCCTGTGTGTGTGCAGACATCATGTAACAGTCAACGATTATATTTTCGGTATAGAGCCCTCATGCATGAAAATCGGCCAGCCAAGAATTCTGCGGTTGTGCGAGATGAGTTGTCATTGTGGAGCTCCAGGATCCAGCTGGAAGGGTTCTCTCCCATCCACTGGGCCCCTAAGGGGAAGGATGTAAACGCTTGTGTATTTGGGGGAAGCCTAGTGATAGAGAGGTAACAACTCGATAGTGTTGCTTTATTGTCCCTTTTGTATTTTTCTCAGGATGAGAAACTCAACGAAAATATTAAGTTCTGAGTCACAGGAAAAACTAGAATGGGAACCCAAGTCTGAAACCCTGACACCCGGAACCATCAAATACCCTGCACCTGTGAATGAAGTCTTGGATGGGTGATGTGGGCAAGTGGGAGGAGGAGGGATGAAAGCTGAACCCCAGGGAAGAGACAGCAGGGGGAATGCAGAGTCAGAGCTGTCCCTTTGTGGTGAAGCCATGTGTTTCCTGAGCTAACAGAGACATTCTACATGCGTATGTAAAAAGGACAAAGGCTACTTTTCTATCTCCTTTTTCTTATAATTTTTATCACATCCTATACATTTTTAGAGTTTGCATGGACTCATTTGTTGCAAAACTAGTTCAGTTTAATTTCCTGACTGAGACATGAAGGGAACAGGTAGTTTTGATCCAGAAGTTTGCCTATTAACTATATATTCCTTGGAAAAAGTATGGCAATTTGGACAAAGATAATCTCTCCCATTGATTTTACTACTAGAAGTGAACCTACACCCTATTAAATCATATTTTGCTGCTCATTCCACCGTAGAATCCAGTAAATGTTGAAGATATAGTTCACCATATAGAGCTGATTAATTGAAGAAAAATATAACTTCTTATCCCTGACTTTATGAGGTTAGAAATAGCGTCCTATGCTAATCTGCAATGCCAAGAAATGAAGATGGTTTAAATCAGATCTCATGACTAATGCATAAGATCCAAAGTTCTTTTATTCCTGGCTATTTTAGCAAACTGGGGTGTATTTTTACCCTAAAAACTAATTCTATAAGATTTATTGAGATAATACAAAAGGCTTTATAATTAATACCTCACAATCAAGACTCATGGCTTCCTGATGATCACAGAAACTCCAGCAGGGTCTCCATTTTACATATAAAATATTGCATAAACGCAGTGCTTTAAGTCAGGATTGGAGGATTATCTGATCCTTAGAATCAGTAACTGGAAAGATGGTTTCCCTTAATAAAATGGAAAGTCTCAATAGCTCACCGCTGTCGATATTCCATTTTAATTGTACTCGCTGTGCATTCATTGAAATAGAAAGAAATACATCCAGCAGTAAAGTAAGCCTGTTATTTTTGCTTGTTTTTGTTTTGGTCATTACAAACTGTGAAATGCTGTGTTTTTCCTATAGTTCCAGTCCATGAAATCTGCAATCTTTCCACTTGATTTACGAAGGACCCTTAATTACTGCTGTCATTAGCACCTAGTGTTCAAAACAGTCTGTTAAAATGTACTGTTAGTCTCACCTCCAAGTCCCTGCTTGCTTTATTTTAATTTTTTCCAAGGGTAAGTAAAACAATAATTGCTTTAATAACAGCAATCACTATGTACAGCGAATTAAATAATATCCCCAGTTCTTGGGTGCTTACTTCCATGCACGCAGAATTCAGTGTGTGAAGACTGGCCTAGAGTTTGAGCAAGTGTCCATAAGGCGGGTTATCGCGAGCGAGGACTTATCCCTGAGTTTTAAAACCAAGTCACTGATCTGGCTTTTTGTTTCCACATGGATGGGGATGACAGACAACGGCTGTGAAGCGTCAATGTTTCTGCCTGGTCATGCACAGTTCTGCAACATAATGCATAAATGTATAACAACAACTTGGGCTCGCTGGATACCTCGCTTGGAATAAGGAAACCCCGCCAGGCGCGCCCCCGCGGTCGGCCTTGTGCGCGCGCGCGCACACACACACACACAAACACACAACCCCACACGCACAGGTCAAAAGTTGATTCGTTCCCGAGACCCGTCCACAGGCGTTCTTTTCCTCCTTTCCGGCAGCCCAGCCTTTCCCGGGCCAGGGAGTCGTGAGGCCGGGGGCGCCGGAGCGGCGGGGGAGGGCGAGGCGAGGCGAGCCGGGTGCCGGTGCGCGCCGCGCCCGCTCCTGCCGGGTGCGAGTCCGGGCCGGGTTTTGCGCCGTGTCCCCGGGCCTGTCTCACGGCCTGCAGCCGCCGCCGCTGCCGTGTTTACTGAGCTCGCGCGTCCTGATATCACTCCGCTGGCATGGAGGAGGAGGAGGAGGTGGAGGAGCGAGAGGAGGAGGAGGCGGCGGCGGCGGCGGCGGCGGCGGCGGCGGCGGCGAGCGGTTGATCATTGTGATGGTGGCAGCGGCGGCGGCGGCAGCGGCAGCCCAGCCGAGCGTTAGGGGCTGCTCTCCGCGCGGCGTTCTGCAAAGGACTTCACCGATCTACTTTTGCAGCCGCCTCGGACTGTCCATGTGTTTACTTCCCCCAGCCCGAGGATTCGGTATCTAGGTTCCTGTGAAATGCAACTGAGCAGCCAAAGTACTTTGAGAACACGGGGCGGCATAAACACCAAAACTTTTTTGTGGAAGGAAAATGCAATAAGCAAGCTTGCCGTTCTCCGATGCGCGGTGGAGTGAGTGTGTGTCGCGCCTGTCCGCACAGGAGGCATAGGCTTGTGTGTGTCCATGGGGTGTGTTTTTCGGTACGTAGGGAGAAAACGCTTGCCAACCACCGGAAATCTCCTGGAATTTATTAGAAAATAATGGATTATAAAAAGAAGGCAGGAGAGGAGCGGCGCTCGCCTTGAGTTGCAACCCGATTTGCTGCTGGCTCAGTTTGTTGTGATTCTTTTTGTTGATAGGTGTCTGATGGTATTCCGATAACACCCCCCCCAACCCCGAGCTTTACAGTTTTTTTTTTTTAAAGGAAACAAAAAACCACCCCCAAAATCTCTCCCCTCCCTGCTTTTTTTTTTTCTTCGCCCCGTCGGGATCGCCGTTTGCATCCATGTGCTCGCGTCTCCCCCGCGTTCCACTTAAACTATTTTAATCCTTGGACCCAAGGAGGAGGCTGATCGGGGGGGTGGATAAAAAAAGTTCTTCCAAAATAGTGTGCCCGGGGAGCAGGATGGGGGATTTCGCAGCCCCCGCTGCTGCCGCGAATGGCAGTAGTATTTGCATCAACAGCAGCCTCGGCGGGGCCGGGATCGGTGTGAATAATACTCCCAATAGTACTCCCGCTGCTCCGAGTAGCAATCACCCCGCGGCCGGAGGCTGCGGCGGCGGCGGCGGCGGCGGCGGCGGCTCGGCGGCCGTCCCCAAGCACAGCACCGTGGTCGAGCGGCTCCGCCAGCGCATCGAGGGCTGCCGGCGGCACCACGTCAACTGCGAGAACAGGTACCAGCAGGCTCAGGTGGAGCAGCTGGAGCTGGAGCGCCGGGACACCGTGAGCCTCTACCAGCGGACCCTGGAGCAGAGGGCCAAGAAATCGGGCGCCGGCCCCGGCAAGCAGCAGCACCCGAGCAAACCCCAGCAAGATGCGGAGGCTGCCTCGGCGGAGCAGAGGAACCACACGCTGATCATGGTGAGGGCGCACTGGCGGCGGGCTCGGGGCGCGCGCGCGCCGGGGGTGGGGAGTGGGGGCGTGGAGCTTCTTACTTGGGGGTACGAGGGACCGATTTGCACACGGGGTGCGGCGGGCTGAAGCCGAAGGGTTAACGTCAACTTTTCTGAGGAAAAAAAAAAAAAAGCTCCAGGCTGCCGCTACCTGTTAATCTGTCAGGGTTGTCAGATTTGGGGAGGAGAGGACGAGAGGGGGAAAGCCAGTCACGACTGCGAGGGGCGGAGGGAGCCTCGAAGTGAGGTGCGGGAAAAGTTTCCCCCTCCCTCTCTGGGAGAGTGCACCCCTGAGTGGGAGCCGTGCTCCTCCTCTTCACCTCTCGCTGCGCCGCCCCAGACCCGTCCCCCTTCGCCCACCCTCTCGGCACCTCTGCCGGGTGCAGGGAGAAACGGATGCTGTGGCAGACCCTGTGCGGGGACAGGCCCTCGACACCCCTGGCGGGGACGCGGGAGCCTCTCGCCGCCTCTTCCTAGCTCACCCCTTTGGGGCTGAGAAAAGTCTGAGAATTTTGTGAATGAACTTTGAAGTGGGTGAGAAACGAACGAGCGAGCGAGGGCGGCTACGCGCGCGCGGTGCTCGCGGGAGCGCGCGGGAGCGCTCGGCTCGCCGCTCCAGACTCGGGGCTAGCCCGGCAGGTGGAGCCGCGGGCAGGGTGCACAGAGCAGTGGCCCCGGCGGGGGCGGAGGGGGACAGCTACGCCCCGCATTTGCGCCAGGAGTCCCCGCCACGCAACTTCGCTTGGGATTTCTTTTTCTCCCTCCTCATCCTAAACTTGCCCGCACCCAGCCGGCTCCACTAGTTTCCCCCTCCCCCCCGCACAACCTCCCTCTCCCCCGCTCCCTGCCAACTTTGCGGGGCTGTCTAATAAGCCCGGAGGAGTGGGAGGTAGCTGGGAGCTGAACGAGGCTTAAATGGCTGGGTGGGTGGGTTCGCCGCGGGATGAGCAGCCAATGGCTTAACTTCTCGGGGAGGAAGGGGCAGTTCCCACCCCCCTAAACCGGAGCGTGGAGCCCTTTCTCTTATCTCCCCTCTCCCGTTCTTTGGCTTTCCTTGGGCCGGGGGCCAGGCCGGAAGCCTGGGGAAGGTGTCTGCGCCCCTCCCCCCACCGCGCGGTGGGAACCGAGGGGCGGCCCCCGCGTCTCCCGTGCACTCCGCGCCTCGCTCGGAGGCGCACTGCCCGGCGCGGGCAAGCCGGCTCGGCGTGCAGCTTGGAAACCGCGCACGGCCCCCCGCCCGGGAGCCCTCGGCGACGGGGGTGGTGTCAGCGCCGCCGCGGGCTTTTGCCGGGCGCTCGGGCCGGCGCTCCGTGACAAAGAGCCTGCTGGGGGGAGGGGAGGAGAGGCCGCCGCGCGCGCCCCCGCCCCGCACGTGAAGAGGAACAATTTGTTTATCTTGGGCTTCAAGAAGCCTTCCCTCCTCCCAGTTCTCCGCGGCCGCCGGGCCCCTCCTCCCCGCCTGGTCGGCGCGATCCTGCCCAGTCCCGCCGGCTGCACCTCCCTCCTCCTCCTCTTCCTCCTTCCCGGCCCCTCCGGCCCGCCCTCCCCCTCCCTTCAGGAACGCGGCCGTGGGGGAGGGAGCGGGAGGCGCTTTGTCCGCCTCGCGGCCCGGCTCAGCCCCGGGGCCGCCCGGCTGGGAGGGGCGCCGCGCCAGCGACCCTGCCCCACCCCCGCTCCCCGCCGCGGCCTGGAGGGATAACCCGGGTCCCGGGGCCAGGGAAGGGAGGATTTCGCTCTCCAAACAGGAAGCCGAAACCGGGGCTTCTCTGTAGCCTTGCAGATTGTACCCGGAGGCGGGGCCGGCCCTGCACCTCGGCCGTGGCTCGCGTCCCCCTTTCTCGTACCTGTGCGGCTGCCGCCCCCCACCCCCCACCCGCCTCCCAACGCGCTCCCAATGCGGGGAGGAGACCACTTTGTGAACCTGAGCCTGAAGGCGAATTCGAAAGGCACGTAGGATTTCGTCCTCGACCGCTCCACGCCCTCTGTCCGTGTGCGTTACACTCCACGCACACGGATTGCGTAGAAATGGGCTTCTCCGTGCGACCCTCAAATTCGCGTCCTACGGAGTCCCCCCACCCCCACCCCCCTTGGGGAAGGAGGGCGGCCAGACACACGCCGCACCAGTTGGGCGACCCTGGAACAAAAGCTAGCGCCGCTCCAAGGCCGGGTCGCTTTTGGCCACGGCGAGAGCTGCAGAGTTGGCGACCAGAAAGTTTCCGTGTTGGGGCCCTGTTCTCACGAGGTGCCCCTGTGGTCTCTGGAGTGGGGGGTGGCGGGACTCGGGGTGCGCGCGCCCGAGTGTAGTGTAACCGACCCTGCAGGTGCAGGTCAGCGCCGCATCCTGACATTACCTGGAAGGAGGCGGCCAGCCTCAGTCGGGGGTGTGCTTTTGCCAAGGGAAAGATAATGCTTACTTGAGTGGACCAAAGGCAGCGCCTGTCGATTTCACAGTGAATCCTAATGTAGCGGCTGGTAGATTTGAAAAACGATTGCCCGAGAGTAAGATTTTTCTCTCTGTTCTGTGTCAGTAATGGAGCCTATTGGTTAGATGTATGTAAATACCAAGGCCAGGTAGAAACTGGAGTAATATGCAAGCTGGGACTGTTTCACACGCGCATCTACCAGTGATGTCAGTGGGAAGCGTGTGTGAAACACTGACATTATTCTCTGTATAAGTCCTATTGCCTTCTAAAATCGTGAGTTTGAAAACTCCCCTTGACCTCTGAAATGACAGAGAATTTTAACTTAGACTATGTGTGAAATAAAATCTTAAAAATAGAGGTTACCAAAAAAAAATGTTGTACTTCATTTTCTTGAATTGACTGCTGGATTATGGCTGTGCTGTGCTGGGGCCCAGAGCAATTAAATTTAGTTCTCAGATTGGACTCCCTATTTGGAAAGCCCTAAAGGAAAGCCGAGGTCAACTCCAGCCCAATGCTAAGAACTGTGATGATAAAAATAAAAGCGAATAGGATTCTTTTCCTTCTCATTGCTACTGTTTACCTTCTAAGGGCCGATATGACCCAAAATACTAAGTATCGATTAGTTCTCTTTCTGCCTGGCTTGGGTTAAGAAGGCAGTCCAATGAGAGCTTTACCACTTTTGATTTGATTTCCTATCTTACTGTTGTAAGCATAGGCATGAAAAACCAAAAAGCAAACAAACGGAAAGCGTGATGGGTGAGGGGCGATGGAAATCTTTTCTGCCTCGAGGTTGGGTTCTGTGTGGTTCCTCCAAGTCCTGGCTGTGGAGCATATAGCACAGACTAGGTTGGAAGCTGCCTAGTCCCTTCTGAACACAATCAAGACCTTCCACCCCTACACCACCCCCCAACTCCTTCCTTTATTTATGAAGGAGATTCCTGCCCCACCAACACACACATACTTGTTGATGAAAACTGTTCCTTCTGCCTGATAGAAACTTTAAGTTGAAAAGTGTTTTATTTGTGATAACCAAAGGAGGTATTGTTTATTACCTGTACACGGAACTGAGCTCTTGGTTATAATTTCCAGATAAATGCCAAGTGGCAAGTTTGTTTTCAAAACCCAAGATGAACATGGTGTATAATCATTCAGGCACCTCAGTAAATGCACTGCACAGTTTTCAGAGTTCCAAAATGTTGTTAGTCTTCATTTGACCTTGATATGACTCATACTGTTTCCCTGACATCCTCATTTCCAGACTATGCTTAAAAGACTGCATACATCTGTGTGACCCTCTACCCTGAAGAGTTTATCACATAAAATTTATTTGCTGGTAAGCATATTAACTCCTGGGCATGGTATTGATGACAACAGCATCCTATCCAAAACGTTCTCATCCATCCCTGGAATAGATCCAGGAAATGTCAACATGCTGGTCTGGAGCTCAACTTCCTTGTATGTGAGCGTGGCTTGCCATTCCTTGTCCTATTAAAGGTGCATCACTGGCCCTGCATCCGGGTTTTTTGGCAGTCTTATACTTCTAGATCATTTCTGACTCTTTCCTGCAACAGCCTTGCCTTGGCTTATCCTGTTCTGCCCGCGTGGCTTACACACAGTTATCTTTTGGAAAACTTTCCAGAACCCAAGAGGGTGTGCTTTACATTTGTGAAAAGCTTTTTGAAATTTCGTCTCTGCCCTTCATGTGTTGATCTTTTCTGAACAGGCGTTCTATTTCAAGTTCTAATACATGTTTAATTCTGTTGTGTTCTTTGGTTGCAGTACATTTTACTTAGGACTGGGCAGCCAGTGGTCAGCAAAGTAGAAGCACAGTTAATCATTAATTGTAATCTACAAAATGCTTTTTGACTGGGTTCCTACCTGGGGAAAGCGGAGTTTTCAGGCATTAGTTTCCTTGATACATTCCATCCTGTCGCATGAGAATTCTAAGGGCAAACTTGAGAATTTTGTGCAGGTTTTCTGCCACATGATAGGACAAACATGAGTATTCCTGGTGCATGGTTTACTGACATTTCTCTAAGAGGGATGCGGATCTTAACCAGTAAATAGAGTTATGGTCATATAGTTTTTTTCTGAATTCCTAGGAGACCAGTAGCCACCTGTTGTTAAAGAGGTTTTCTGATTGGCTTCTTTCACTTGCTTGAGATACAGTGCTCTCTCTCTCTCTCTCTCTCTCTCATGCACACACACACAGAGGCACGTCTTGCATGCTACATAATACTTCTTGGATACATATGAAGTACTTATGTGTTATGTCACTTATGGAATGTCATTTGTGGTCAGTGTTCTGTGTCTGTTAATTGATCGTCTTGTGCTGAAGATGGATAAACTCTTCCTTCTTTTTGCACATCATTCCATCACAGAGAACTATGAAACAGACCAGTCAGCCATCAGACTCTTAGAGAAAGAGGAACATATTTCATATTATGAAAATCTTGAGAATATTATGAAAATCTTGAGAAAGATAATATCTGCCTTGTGAGTCTCCCGTTGCTCTAAGGCTGATTATTGAGTTTTTGGATCCTCC